TTATACCTTTACAATGACTTTAACTCCACATAAAGTGTAGTCTGTTTTTTTTTTGCAGGTAATCATTAGTAAGGTTGGGGATTACCTGGTAATGTAATGGGAGGTAGCTGGGTACATCTATGCTATTCTACTTGTGTATTATACTGGCATGCGTATGTAAACTACATTCAGATATAGAAAATGTTTACTATGTCCTTTCTTTTCTCACTGCTATTAGTATTTGTTTAATTTCATGATTATTACTCCTTAAAAATGAGTTTTAAGAACTTCAGATTCAATCAAAAAAGCAATAAACATTTGCATGACCATGTCAGAAAATATATAAATATATGTACATTGTTTTGGACCTTTAAGGAGCCTCAGGTTTTCAATATGCAAATAAGCTAATCAGCAAACCTAACAAATGTAATAATTAGTTGGCATATTAGTCATTTCTTCTGTTTAGGGAAATTAAGGATGGGAGGTAAGCAAATTCCAGTATCCCAGAATCTCTCTATCCATTGGTAAAGAGCAGATCATATACTTGTTATATGCTGAGCACCATCTAGTGGGTGAAAAAGAGACTCATGTCTATAGGAGCTCACAGCATATTTCCACTTCTGCAGCCAAATTAGGATAACACCTACTTTATACTTGTTATATGTTTCCATTAACGTTGCTTAACTTAATAATGAAAAAAAATTGGTGCTTACCATTTTCAATGATTTCTACTTGCTTAAAAATTCTCACATGCTCTCGCTGCTTTGCAATGTTTAGGAGGGGTGTGGAGTAAAGTTTACAATAATTAACCCCCTCTGTACTGTGTTCACAGTTCTTCACTTTTGGTTGCAAACTAGATTTGAACATTGTCCCAACAAGGGGTTAAAATTTAGAAACTGCCTTCATACACTGTATGTTAATTATGGATAGCTAGATTCTGTGCAGTGATACAACACTTCAAGACTGTCTAGAAATTCTTAGAATCACCTTCTTGTTAAAAAAGGTAATAAATAAATAAAAATATATATATATATATATATATATATATATATATTACATTTTCAGGACAAGATTTCAGGGTGTAACTCTTCTTTTTAGGATCCAAGCAGTATTGATACACAATGCATTAGAAGAATCTTAACAAAATAACCAGCACAAGTAGCCCACTGTAACTAATGGGAAAAAGTTAGTTAAATATGGAGATAAGGAGGAGGGGGAGAGTCAAGGAACTGAGAAGAGTCATAAAAGTGTTTGGCAGTGATTTAAAAACTAAGGTCCACATTCTGTCCCTTATCTTCTGTGCCACACCAAATTATCATATCAGGAATATACTTTCCTGAGTATGAAAAAAAGTATTTTAAAGTATTTTTTTGGATATTTTAAAAAGGTCCACAAACACAAATGAACCCTTCAGTATTTTAGGATCACACAGCTGGATCTCTAGTAATGTGGTGTACCTCATTAAATGCAAAACGTTCAATGTTACATTGGCGAGACAGGATAGAACATCCAGAATAGAATGAATCTTTGTAGACACACCATCAAAGATAAGGAAGACAAACACTTGCACACCTGGGGGACATCATTTCCTAAAACCACCCCATTCTATGGAAGATGTAAATGTTTTGGTTCTTAAAAGGAATTTTAAAAACCCTCCTGAAAGGAAAACCTTTGAACTACCAGTGATAAGTCTGTTTGACACAAAAGGTAATAGAGTGAACGTGGTCCCTAGTTTTTACATCACTACAAAACAGTTTCATGACCATTCTCAGTTCTGTGACACTTTATTCCATTCCATTCCATAGCTCTCCTCCACATATCCTTATCTGAATAACTTTTCCCCTTTAATTATAATATGTTGTTTGTGGGGGTTTTTTTTTTTGAGAGATTGTTGTTCTTACTATTCTTTTATGTTCTGTGTGTCAGGACTGCTTGGACCCTGGAAGAAGTTTCTCCTAAAAAAATGATATTTAAATTAACTTAAAATAAATTAATGCTGTAAGGGATGACAGGTTTCATCTGTTTTTGTATGACTCTGACAAAAATGTGTTAAAATGAGAAAAAAATAGATATTGCCCATGGTGGCCAATCAGATGCATTTCCCTGATTTTCAATGACTATTCCCTGAGGAAGTCAATGCTGACGAAATGCATAGGGGCGGAGCTTTTGGTGCTGACGTCATCATGCACACAAACTTGATCCAACTGCATGCTTTTTATTACATGGTGTACACTGGCAATCTCTTTTGAGTACAATTTTATTTAATTAAGCATACTTTTTAAGTGGTAATGCACTATAGTTGTTTAGATCTTCTGTATGATGATCGGTGTCTTGATTGGAGCCATTACTGGTGCAAGTTTGTTGTTGCCTTGGGCCATTTAACAGTTGGAGCCTCCACCTTTGGGCTTTGGGCTTTGGGCTGAAGAGCAGAGGATTTGATGGTTTCTACCTAAAAGTTATCCAGCTGTTGACAGATTGTGCCCTGTACTCAGGCGCTGTTGACCTCTTGATTCTGAGGTCAATCTCTCTGGTAAGCAGGTGGAGTTTATTTACAGTAGTAAACCAGGGTCATTATATCCACACCTGGTTCCCTTCTGTGCAGTCTCCAGGCATATTCAATGCAACTACACCCTCATTATTCCATGGACACATTTCTGAATCAGACTCGAAAAGAATTTAAATAATCATAGTGCTTTCCGTTTCCCACTATATTTTATTAAAATATTGACCTAAAATAATTCTTTAGATCAAATTGAGAAGGTGAGCGCATTAAAGGTGAAGGAGATTGGATTTGGGAATTGCACAGTATATGGTGTTCAATAACCCCATTTAAAGGGGAAGACATACAGTCAGGTCCATAAATATTGGGACATCGACACAATTCTAACATTTATGGCTCTATACACCACCACAATGGATTTGAAATTAAGCGAACAAGATGTACTTTAACTGCAGATGGTCAGCTTTAATTTGAGGGTATTTACATCCAAATCAGGTGAACGGTGTAGGAATTACAACAGTTTGCATATGTGCCTCCCACTTGTTAAGGGACCAAAAGTAATGGGACAATTGGCTTCTCAGCTGTTCCATGGCCAGGTGTGTGTTATTCCCTCATTATCCCAATTACAATGAGCAGATAAAAGGTCCAGAGTTCATTTCAAGTGTGCTATTTGCATTTGGAATCTGTTGCTGTCAACTCTCAAGATGAGATCCAAAGAGCTGTCACTATCAGTGAAGCAAGCCATCATTAGGCTGAAAAAACAAAACAAACCCATCAGAGAGATAGCAAAAACATTAGGCGTGGTCAAAACAACTGTTTGGAACACCAAAAGACCCGGAAGACCACGGAAAACAACTGTGGTGGATGACCGAAGAATTCTTTCCCTGGTGAAGAGAACACCCTTCACAACAGTTGGCCAGATCAAGAACATTCTCCAGGAGGTAGGTGTATGTGTGTCAAAGTCAACAATCAAGAGAAGACTTCACCAGAGTGAATACAGAGGGTTCACCACAAGATGTAAACCATTGGTGAGCCTCAAAAACAGGAAGGCCAGATTAGAGTTTGCCAAACGACCTCTAAAAAAGCCTTCACAGTTCTGGAACAACATCCTATGGACAGATGAGACCAAGATCAACTTGTACCAGAGTGATGGGAAGAGAAGAGTATGGAGAAGGAAAGGAACTGCTCATGATCCTAAGCATACCACCTTCTCAGTGAAGCATGGTGGTGGTAGTGTCATGGCGTGGGCATGTATGGCTGCCAATGGAACTGGTTCTCTTGTATTTATTGATGATGTGACTGCTGACAAAAGCGCAGGATGAATTCTGAAGTGTTTCGGGCAATATTCTCTGCTCATATTCAGCCAAATGCTTCAGAACTCATTGGACGCCACTTCACAGTGCAGATGGACAATGACCCAAAGCATACTGCAAAAGCAACTAAAGAGTTTTTTAAGGGAAAGAAGTGTAATGTTATGCAACGGCCAAGTCAATCACCTGACCTGAATCCGATTGAGCATGCATTTCACTTGCTGAAGACAAAACTGAAGGGAAAACGCCCCAAGAACAAGCAGGAACTGAAGACAGTTGCAGTAGAGGCCTGGCAGAGCATCACCAGGGATGAAACCCAGCGTCTGGTGATGTCTATACGTTTCAGACTTCATGCTGTAATTGACTGCAAAGGATTTGCAACCAAGTATTAAAAAGTGAAAGTTTGATTTATGATTATTATTCTGTCCCATTACTTTTGGTCCCTTAACAAGTGGGAGGCACATATGCAAACTTGTAATTCCTACACCGTTCACCTGATTTGGATGTAAATACCCTCAAATTAAAGCTGACAGTCTGCAGTTAAAGCACATCCTGATGTTTCATTTCAAATTCCATTGTGGTGGTGTATAGAGCCAAAAATGTTAGAATTGTGTCGATGTCCCAATATTTATGGACCTGACTGTATATTGATCTAGAATAACTTTTTAAGTCTAATTGAGAGAGTGAAAGCATTTGGAGACTGGTGTTGGGAATCACACAATGAAAGGTGTATGGTAGAATACAAATGCACAGCAACCATGCTTACATAGGAAAATTGTGCGATTGAAGGGGAAAAAATGTCAGTATCACTAGAGAATAATGGACACTATTAAATGGTAGACTGTTTATTTTGAGAGAATCATAATATATATATGTTTGCTACGTTTTTGTTAGTTGTTTGTACATATTTTTTTTTCATTTGATGGTATTTTGAGATTTTGTAGTTCACAATTTTGCATATATAGATATAGCGCTACACTATCCAAGTATAGCTTAAGAGGGTGTAGTAACACAGACAGTTTCAGCACTGCTTTTATACAGACAGAGAGCTTGTAAATAATAATCAACCAAAGGTGAGACACATGTAGGAATTGTTAGCAAAAACTGTCAAGGCTTACCGTATTTTTCGCTCCATAAGACGCACCTGACCATAAGACGCACCTAGGTTTTAGAGGAAGAAAACAAGAATAAAAATATTCTGAACCAATAGGCTGCAGACATAGTACAGAAAATGACCAGAGACTGTGGATGTACTACAGGAGATGACCAGAGACTGTAGACATACTACAGGAGATGACCAGAGACTGTAGACATACTACAGGAGATGACCAGAGACTGCAGACATACTACAGGAGATAACCGGAGACTACAGACATAGTAGTACGGAGATGACCAGAGACTGCGGACATAGTACAGCAGATGACCAGAGACTGCAGACATAGTACAGGGGATGACCAGAGACTGCGGACATAGTACAGCAGATGACCACAGACTACAGACATAGTACAGGAGATGACCAGAGACTACAGACATAGCACAGGAGATGACCAGAGACTGAAGACCTTTGAGGAGGGGGGGGGAGTGGGTACCTGAATTTGACAGGTACCCACACCCACTTCCGCTGCGATCGCTTAGGCGATCGGAAGCGGAAGTTGTCCTCCCTCCCAGTAGTCTTCTGGGACACATGACAGGTCCCAGAAGACTATGGGCCATTCACAAAGTGCAGAGCTTTTTGAGCATGAGCAGTGGGCACCTGGCTGTGAAGCCGCAAGCTGTCACAGCCAGGTGCCCATGCTGAAGGTGCTGGCGCCAGGGAGAGAAGATGGCCGGTGAAAGCAGCGGTGGTGAGGACACCACTGGACCGAGGAACAGGTAAGTGTCTGTATTTTAAAAGTCAGCAGCTATAGTTTTTGTAGCTGCATTTTTTTTTTTCAGCTGGAACTCCACTTTAAGGGGCAGCTGCTTCGGGCCCTGCCTGGCGCTGCCACAGAAGAGCTGAGCAGCCAGCCCGGTATTCTAATACGGCAGCGGCGATGGGGGGAATACCGGGCCGGCCACTCTATATTCATTCCATAAGACGCACAGACATTTCCCCCCATTTTTTTGGGTGAAAAAAGTGTCTCTTATGGAGCGAAAAATACGGTAATTTACCTATATTGCTGCAAAACAACTGTGAGTTGTTCACCCATTACTTCTTCCCTGAAAAAGGTCTTTTGTATAACTCTGAAATGTACATTATTTTTCAATTTAACCTAAACGTTTTTATCGCAACCTCTGGCAGGTTACTGTTTACCTTTGTACCATTTCAGGTTATTCATTCAGCTGTTTAAATTTCAATTAAAAACTGGAAAAATTGGGGTGTTCTAAAACGTTTGAAACTGAAAAGGGGGGGGGAATGACAGGTGCTGGAGATATTAACAGTGTCCTGGCCAATGACACTCTACTAAACACAGGTAGTAAAAATAACTACTAAACCACCATTCACATAAATGAAACACAGAGCCATACTTCTCTAAAGGTGATGTTACCTCCTGACCATTCCAAACCATTTCAATTGGAAATGCGGAAAGCTGGCAGAGGAATACAGCTATACTAATAAGCACCCATCCTTTCTGCTCCTTAATTCTTCACCCTTCACACTCCAATCCTATGTTGAAAGTAAAAAAAATATATATCTATATAAATTATACAATTATGTATAAAACAAAATTAAAGTAAAAATAAGTATGAACAAAAATAAGGTATCGCATAAAACATTAAAAACAGCCTTAAAACATTTTAATGAATTTTGCTAAAAGCAAAAAGTTCAATATCAATTTTGAGTCATTTGTACGTACGTATTTGGAATGATAGTATTCAATTTGAAAATTCATTTGGAAAAACATCTATTTTCTTGATAAAATTGCTGCCTTTCCAATCTGGTTTAACCACCCCTAGCTCCCAGAAACAGGTACATTTCAGACTGCTATTATGGCATTCATTTAGAGTTTTACAAAAATGTTCACTTCAGACTCTAAGCTCTTGCTCTATCTGACCAATATATTGTTTCTGGAAAGAACACCTGATAGCATATAGAGCTCTTTTAGCCGTGGTGAGGTCTTTCATTTTATATTATGTACCTGGTGGGCTAATTTATCACAACTGTTGGGAGACACTGCAGCCAGAGGTATATGTGAGTGCTTTCTTCTACCTTTTGTTCATATCTTTGTTTAAAGTGTTTTATATTTGATACTTTTGTAATGTATTATCAGCATTCTCACATGGAAGAAAAATATATTTGAAAATATATTTTAAAATTATTCTTCCCAAATATATTGACATATATTTGAAATACCACAATTTTGGCCATATTCAATATATTGAATATAGGGGTAAAATGTCAGTGCGTCTTATGGAGCGAATATGGAGTGGCTGGTCCGGTATTTCCGCCGCCGCCACCGTGTCAGAATACCGGGCCGGCCGCCGCTCGTCTCTTCTCTGCAGCAGGACCTTACCTGATCCTCGGTCCAGCGCTGTGCAGTCTTCCTGCGCCGGCAACTTTAGTGTGGGCACCCAGCTTTGAGAATGATCCGGTGTCTTCTGAGACAAATGACAGGTCCCAGAAGACGCCGGGCCATTCACAAAGCGCGGCGCTTCTTGCGCACGCGCAGTGGGCACAGCCGGGTGCCCGCACTAAAGGGAGGACAACTCCGCGGAAGTGGGACGGGTACCTGTCAAATTCAGGTACCCGCTCCCCCTCCCTCCCCAAAGGTCCACAGTCTCTGGCAGGGGCGGACTGACAACTCATGGGGCCCCTGGACAGTAGGGGATCATAGGACCCCTGTGTCCTCACCCACACCCCCAAAAAAGCCTATGAAAGGTACCAGGGGCATCTCATGGGGCCCCCTACTGACTCCGGGCCCTCGGGCAGTGCCTGAGTTCCCAAATGGTCAGTCCACCCTGGTCTCTTGTTCCCCTGTACTCTGCAGTCTCTTGGTCATCCCTGTACTGTCTGCAGTCTCTGGGTCATCCCTGTACTGTCAGTCTCTGGTCATCCCTGTACTGTCCGCACTCTCTGGTCATCTCCTGTACTATGTCTGCAGTCTCTGGTCATCCCCTGTACTGTGTCCGCAGTCTCTGGTCATCTCCTGTACTGTGTCCGCAGTCTCTGGTCATCCCCCTGTACAGTCTGGCATCCCCTGTCTGTCTGCCATGGCCCCCTGTACTGTCTGCAGTCTCTGGTCATCCCCTGTACTCTCGCAGTCTCTGGTCATCCCCTGTACTCTCTGCAGTCTCTGGTCATCCCCTGTACTGTGTCCGCAGTCTCTGGTCATCTCCTGTACTGTGTCCGCAGTCTCTGGTCATCTCCTGTACTGTGTCCGCAGTCTCTGGTCATCCCCTGTACTGTCTGCAGTCTCTGGTCAACCTCTGTACTGTCTGCAGTCTCTGGTCATTTCCTGTACTGTCTGCAGTCTCTGGTCATCCTCTGTACTGTCTGTCTCTGCATCTGTACTGTCTGCAGTTTCCCCCTGTACTGTCTGCAGTCTCTGGTCATCCCCTGTACTGTCTGCAGTCTCTGGTCATTTCCTGTACTGTCCGCAGTCTCTTGGTCATCCTCTGTACTGTCTGCAGTCTCTGGTCATCCCTGTACTGTCTGCAGTCTCTGGTCATTTCCTGTACTGTCCGCAGTCTCTTGGTCACCCCTGTACTGTCCACAGTCTCTTGGTCATCCCCTGTACTGTCTGCAGTCTCTGGCCATCCCCTGAACTGTCTGCAGTCTCTGGTCATCTCCTGTACTATGTCCGCAGTCTCTGGTATCCCCTGTACTGTCTGCAGTCTCTGGTCATCTCCTGTACTATGTGGTCTCTGGTCATCCCCTGTACTGTCTGCAGTCCCTCTGGTCATCTCCTGTACTATGTCCGCAGTCTCTGGTCATCCTCTGTACTGTCTTTGGCAGGGGGTTCTCTGGTCATCCTCTGTACTGTCTGCAGTCTCTGGTCATTTCCTGTACTGTCCGCAGTCTCTGGTCATCCTCTGTACTGTCTGCAGTCGTCATCCTCTGTACTGTCTGCAGTCTCTGGTCATCCCCTGTACTGTCTGTCTCTGGCAGTCTCTGGTCATCCCCCCTGTACCCTGTCTCTTGTACTGTCTGCAGTCTCTTGGTCATCCCTGTACTGTCTGCAGTCTCTGGTCATCCCCTATACTGTCTGCAGTCTCTGGTCATCCCCTGTACTGTCCGCAGTCTCTGGTCATCTGTACTGTGTCCACCTCTGGTATCTCCTGTACTGTCCGCAGTCTCTGGTCATCCCTGTACTGTCTGCAGTCTCTGGTCATTGTACTGTGTCCGCAGTCTCTGGTCATCTCCTGTACCATGTCCGCAGTCTCTGGTCATCTCCTGTACTGTGTACTGGTCATCTCCTGTACCTGCAGTCTCTGGTCATCTCCTGTACTGTGTCCGCAGTCTCTGGTCATCTGTACTGTGTCCGCAGTCTCTGGTCATCTCCTGTACTATGTCCTGCAGTCTCTGGTCATCTCCTGTACTATGTCCACGGTCTCTGGTCATCTCCTGTACTGTGTTCGCAGTCTCTGGGCATCTCCTGTACTATGTCCACAGTCTCTGGTCCCCTCCTGTACTATGTCCACGGTCTCTGGTATCTCCAGTACTGTGTCTGCAGTCTCTGGTCATCTCCTGTACTATGTCCGCAGTCTTTGGTCATCTCCTGTACTATGTCCACAGTCTCCGGTCCCCTCCTGTACTATGTCCACAGTCTCCGGTCCCCTCCTGTACTATGTCCACGGTCTTCTCCGGTCATCTCCTGTACCTGTCCGCAGTCTCTCCGGTCTGTACCGTGTCCACAGTCTCCGGTCATCTCCTGTACCGTGTCCGCAGTCTCTGGTCATCTCCTGTACCGTGTCCGCAGTCTCCGGTCATCTCCTGTACCGTGTCCGCAGTCTCCGGTCATTCTGCAGTCTTTGGTCATCTCCTGTACTATATCTCCTAGATTGTAAGCTCCAAGGAGCAGGGCCCTCAAATCCCTCTTGTATTGAACTGTATTGTTGCTGTATTATCTGTTGGCGCTATATAAATCCTGTATAATAATAATAATAATAATAATAATAATAATGTCTGCAGTCTCTGGTCATCTCCTGTACTATGTCTGCAGTCTCTGGTCATTTCCTGTACTATGCCTGCAGTCTCTGGTCATTTTCTGTACTGTCTGCAGTCCATTGGTTCAGAATATTTTTTTCTTGTTTTTCTCCTCTAAAACCTAGGTGCATTTATGGTCAGGTGTGTCTTATGGAGCTAAAAATAAAGTATTTCAAAATATATTTCAATAAATATATATATATAACAGCAGTTGAAAGATGTTTTTATTTCACAATATATGAAAATTTTTTTTTTTAAATATATTTTTCAGATTTATTTAACAAATAAAAAAGTTATTTTAACATATATTCTCACATATAACTGTAAATGCATTCCAAAAATGTAGATTTGTATTTTTAAAGGCATACAGCATATTTGAAATGTATTTTTGAAAATATTTCATTCATATATTTTATAATAAAAATGCATTTCAACATGCAGTGTGTGTATATATATATATATATATATATATATATATATATAATTTATTTATTTTAATATATTGAATATGGCCAAAATTGTAGCAATTCAAAATATATGTCAATATATTTGGGAAGAATATTTTTTAAAATATATTTCAAATATATTTTTCTTCCATA